AATACTTAGTAGGAAAAAGAAAGTGTAAAATAGCTAGCTCACCAATAATTTTAAAATACCCATTATGTGTTGGAATAGAAACCATTCCAGAAATATTTGGGTTAAATAAAATATCTTTTTAAAATGAATTCCACCTGTTTCTTTAATTTTTTAAGAAATATGGCTCACATTTGTGGCTTGTTTTATATTTCTATGGGATGGCGCTTCTCTAGAGCTTCATCTTGGACTATTAAAATTTAATAGGAAAATCACTAAAACCTCATAATGATTACATTTTCTGGAAAATACCCTGTCTTTTGCTTTTTCATATGTTTCTTCTGGTGACACCATGATGTAAGATCTTGCTCTTGGAGTCTTTCCATCTTATAACTGTCTGGGTTTCACCCTTGTCTTGGCTCACCTGCTTCTCTGGGGCCGGCTCCAGTACTATCTTCTGAGAGGTCCTCTCTGATTCCTCATCCGTTCCCCTGCTCTACTGTGTGAGCCCCATCATCATCCCCCAGCTGAACCCTGAATGCCTCCTACATACCTGAGTGTCCTCATCATCCCCCCTCATTCCTGTCCTGCTATACTGTGAGTTTAAGGATGAGGACTGGATTTGTCTCGCTCACTTCCGTATCCCTGGCATGCGGCACTGTCTAGTACTAAAGAGCAGCTTTAATAGATTAGTTTGAATGAATGAAGAATGAATTAATGAATGAATAAATTCACCTTCATTCACACGGATATTCCTCTCCCAGGCCCATGGCCTCAAGCATTAATTTCAGAAAGTCTGCGATTTGCTATGATCAAAACAGTGAGAGGACTTTGAAGAAATTAACAGAGGAAACGGGAAAGGTTAATGTGGCTTTACCCATTATCATATCTTTTCATACATCACATACGTGCGTGCATGTGTGCGTGTGTACATGAGGTGATTTTCTTCTTAAAGGATACATATTGTTAACTGGAAGCAAAGTGTACTGAACTCAGGGATTGAAATGCTTAATCAAACCAAAGGAAACAATATGAAACTCTGCACAGAAGGAGATGATAGAGGGAATCTGAGAGACAGGACTGCTAAGCCCGCCCGTGACAGGCTCTCATACAAAATGGGTTGTTTGTGACAGTGCAATAATTTCTACTGGTTACTGCATTTGTCGCTTTAACAACATCTAGGTGTTTATTATTGTATTTCATGGATTAGGTTGTACTTTTTGGCTTTGACATAAAGTATTTTTTTCTTTTAAAATTAACTATGGCAAAAAAATAGTACAGGATATTTTTGAGGAAATGAAGCTTTTAGAAAAACCTAAGGTGTGGGAAAATAAGTAACTCACATACTCACTCACATACTCACATTCATGTACACACTGATATTTACACACATTCACACCCACACTCATACCCTCATATATCCACATATGAACCTTTCACACACTCACACTCACTCACTGCTATGGTCGGAATGTTTGTTTGTCCTCAAGGTTCACATGTTGGAATCCTAATGCCCGGTGTGATGGCATTAGGAAGTGGGACCTCTAGGAGGTGAAAAGATCATGAAAGTAGAACCCTCATGAATGGGATTAGTACTTTTACAAAGAGACCTCACAGGGCTCCCTAGCCCTTTCCACCCTGTGAAGATACAACAAGAAGTCTGCAACCCAGAGGAGGCCCTTCACCAGACCATGCGGGCATCCTGATCTTGAACTTCTAGCCTCAGAACTTCACACAATAGATTTGTTGTTTAGAAACCACCCAGTCTATAGTATTTTGTTATAGTAGCCCAAATGGACTAAGACATTCGCATACATGCACTTACACACATACTCATATATTCATACCCACACTCACTCACATCCCTCACACATATAAATGACTCACACACATTCACACACATATTCACACATACCCTTTGTACTCACACATATATAACACACATGCACAGGCATCACTCACATACACATTCCCACATACTTTCACACCCACACTGACAACATACTCACCCCCCACACAGGGGCTATGCCCATTCAGCACCTGATTGTTCTCCTCTAATGTAAACATCCTGCAAAAATGAAAGGTCGCCTCACATTTCCCCAACTGCAAGAGAAACGTGCTCTCACTTTGTTCACAGGAGAATAGGTAATGGGGTTTTATTTGGGGCTTCCTTTGGGGCTAAGACCTGAAATTCCCCCTCTCTGTAATGTGGGGTGTCCCCTCATTGGGTTTCCCAGTATTAATTGCAGCGGGGGGCAGAGAGTGGGAAGCAACCCCACCACACATACATCTTTGCTTCCTTTCCTCAGTGAGGTCTGACTTGGGCCTCACCACAAAACACCTGATGTGGCTGCAGCATTTCTTTCTAGTCTGACAATTAGATGAGTCCCTTGTGCCACGGCACCACCCTGTCAAATTCCCAAGCCTGCCTGAGAATGGCATGGGGAATCCTCAGTCAGACAAGTGGGACAGAAGTGGTTCTAAATAGAAAGGGCAGTGATTTCTGCCTGGGAAAGGCTCCCAGTAACAAGCACCATATTGCCCGAAATCCTCTCATTGGAAATCATATCCTCTCCCTAGACCTGCATTTGTAAAACGGGTGGTGGGACTGCATACTGCTTAAATTTCCTTTGGCTCTAGAGGTCTGTGATTCTGTGGTTTTGTGGTCCACAGCAGTCCTGCTCATCTCGGTAACTCTGGTCAGTGTTTTATTCTCACTCCAGGTGAGTGGCCTGTTTGGGGCCATTGAAGAAGCCCAGGATTTGGCAGGAAAGGATTTAATCCTCTAACAGCCCTGCAAAACTGAGGACTAGGTTCAACTTTCCTTAAGGTGTCTCTCAGGTTGGACAGTCAAGGACGGTTTTTAAAGGTGCCCTGTCTTGACCGCTATCTGGCTTCAAGTTATACAAACTTCTAGAATTTGCATTTTTGGTTTCTTATCAAGCCACTCTCAGTCCAAAGCCTCTACAATTCTGGCTCCACATAAGGAAAGGTTTTCTAACGATAAGAGATGCCCATCCTGTCACGGATTGCCTACAAAGTGGAATTCTCCCTGTCTCAGCAGAGACATCTGTCTGTCCTGGCTGGAGTGGGGCCAATGTTTATGAGAAGAGTGGACTAGAATTAAAATCCCTTTGAATTCCAGGATGGAATTCCAGGAGGATTAAAATCCCTTTGAATTCCAAAACCTCATTGTAGAATCAAAGCTTTGTGAGGATTAGGAACAAGATCAAAATGAGAAGCAGAGAATAATTTGCATATGCACGTTTACTAAACATTACCTGCAGCTAATAACTGTTTATTCTGACTTAGCTCTGATAGTACCGTGATCACGCCTGTTTAATCTCGGTTACGGTGAGAAGCATGACACTGGATGTGTAGCTTTCATTGTTAGGATAAAAATTTATGATGTAGTAATTTTCCTTTGGTGGCCCCGGTAATTTTTCTACATTTGTGTCCTCTCATTTTAGATCAAGTACCAGTATCATTAATCTCATTCTGTAGAGAGCATCCCAGGAGTAGAGTGGAGTGAGATGGGACTAAAACAGCTTATCTTTTCAGATCACTGCTGAGGACATTTTGGGAGGAGGAATCACTATGGGAGAAGGAATCTGGGGTTTAACCAGTCGCTTGCCTGTGAAAATGAAAACTTATAGCCAAGAATTGAGCTGGTTCTTCTGTAATATTCACGGATATGACTGCTCTAAGTTTCTTGCTTTGAGAATCGCCTTGCTATTAAAAATGATTTTATTTCAAAATAAATTTTAAGCTGCAGTTTTAGTTTCAAAGTGAAGAACTTGATTATGACTCACCAAGCTATTTATAGAAGTCTCCTCTTCTACCAGACATTTTTTCATGTGAGATACAGGAAAAGGGAGAAAGCTCATTTGTTCCCTAGCTCATGTCTTAAATCTGAAGAAGATTGCAACTATCAGAACCTATAATGCTAACCCCATCATAGGACTTTATATTCATTACTCTGACTCTTCTGGTTTTGTGCTCATCAGCTTCATAATTCCAAAACTGTTTGTTTACCCTTAGCTGGAAGAGGTGTAGTGAGAGGTTTGGGGGAAATAAGGAAATACAGAGGAGTAGCGCTCACCTGAAAACTCTTATTATGACTATGCCAATCAGTAGCTGAATTCAAATAGAATTTTCTTTCAACTAAGATGAGTCATGATGTGACAGGAAGAGCTCTGGATGGGGTTTTGGTCCCAGCTCTGCACTTAGTTGCTGGGTGACTTTGGGAAGAACTTCCTCTCTCTGACCCTCGGTTTTTGTATTTGTTAAGTTGGGTTGCCTAGTACCCACCTGCAGGGTTTTTGTACGGATTAAATGGAACGACAATGCCAGCTTTCAGCACTCTGTGAAATGTTCACATCCTGTCATAACATTAGGCCACACTGTTTTCCGGAAGGCTGTTCGATTTCTACTGTTTTACTACTATTCTCAAGGAAGAACTGCTTTCCTTTTCCTATTTGTATTGTTTTCTGCTATCATTTGTGACCACAACAAATATATTCTTAAATAGCCATATGTGCAGACTTCCCATGTTTAATTTCACCAAAAGCGAATAAGTCAGGTGGCATGGTTACTGCCGGGGCCATTGTATATAGGGGAGAAAGGGGTGGGCAGAGAGGGGACAAGAGTCAGAAGAGATGGTATAATAGGATGAGAGAGCGGACATGCTTGGTGATGGAAAAGGACCTTGATGGGAAAAAGATGAGAAAGTGGATGAGGAAAAGGTGTGTTGTGTGGAGGAAGGGACTCAATCAGAGCGCTCATCCTGATCTGGAAAAAGTAAATGATACGGAATCAAGTATCATGAGGATATGGCTGAGAAAATGAGCTCCAACAAGGTCTGTGAAACCTCACGTGAAAGCCACTATGGAAATAAAAGGTCTTTTTCTGTCCTTGAAAGGTATTGTTCAAATACACACTTCTCTTCACATGTCAATGATATCTCAATAAAAACAAACAAATATATAATTCTCCTGAATTTTAAGTTGACACTGAAAACTTACCTTCCAGAAAAGAGAAATCTGTTGTCTGTTGTAGCCAATGTTCTGTTTCATGTACCAGACATCTAATGTCCCAGTAGGCTCTGTTTTGAAGGGGAAAAACATATTTTCATATACACACACACACACACACACACACATACATATCTCCATATACAATATGAAACCTTTAAAAGTTACTTAATAAATGATTCTGGGAGAGTAGGAATATAATATCCTTTGTGTCTCAGCGTTTTTCTTTTTTTGTTAAACAATGAACATGTATGTATATCTTTGGCCATAGAAAGCACATAGTTATTTGAAAAACAAATTTTTAAAAAATGATGATGCAGAAATCAGATTCCCAGCTTATTCTTAAAACATGTATTAATAAAATAACTCACAGAAAGTATGTGTGGTTATTTCTTTTTTATTAAAATGCAGGAAAAATTCTCAGCCAAAAATTAAGACAAAAATCATAAGGAAAACATTTTTTGATCCTGTAAAAGTACAAAATACAAATGATAAACTTTGTGTTTATCGCCATTCTTGACCTTATGTTGTAGGATAATTATTTGGTTTTATGATCATTAGACAATGATCTACTTGAACAGAAGGCCTAGCTCATGTATCTTAATATTTCTCCTACCTAACACGGTGCTTAGAATTTAATAGGCTCCCAGGAACTCTTTGTTAAATGATTAATAAACAAATCAGGCAATATTATCTACTTGATGTTAAAACACAGGATGACATGATAGAAGAAATAACCAGCAATCATTTGACAATGGTCAAATAGGTCCTAATTTAATAGGAGAAAGTTAAATATACTTGAAAGGAAACTGAATAATCGACTCCTGTAAGTGAGAGTGTGTGTGTTACAGAGAGAGACAGAGACAGAGACAGAGACAGAGAGACAGAGACAGAGACAGAGTCAGAGTCAGAGACACATAGACAGACAGAGACAGACAGACAAAGAGAGACAGAGAAAAAGAAGTAGTTTTATTTCTCCCATTATCAGATTTTTTTTTTTTTTTGATTTATAGCCAGGGGTGGAATCAACAGAAGCAACCCCTGAAAACAGGCTTCAATTGTACTAATGTAACTTGTTTAATGGTGACATTTAATAGTGCATTTCAGGTGAGGTTACAATAGGTTTCCTCTTGGAGTAGCAAATTCTATTTGACCAGATGGATATGTCCAGAAGAGTAAGTCCTACCTGAATAACAGAAGACAAGTCCCCAAGGAGAGGAGAAGCGAAAGAGAGAAAGGAAGGGAGCATCTACCAGTACGTACTATGGGCAGGTCCCGTGTGGGCTCATTCACAGTCACATCTCATGTCCTCCTCACCCCGGTGACGTACATAGCTTTAATGCAGTGGTTATAGTGTGAGCTCCACAGGCAGAGCATCTATGGGTAAATCTGTGATCTTGAACAAATGCTAACTACGTCCTTAAGCCAGTTTCCTCATCTGTCAAATGAAGATCATAATTCTGTACATGAGGCTATTGTGAGAATTTTAATGAAGAGTGCTGACTCTTGGTAAGCACTCAGTACATTTTTCTGTCATTTTCTTCATTTGAAAACTGAACTGCCGAGAGGCAAAGAAATTGTTCAAGGTCCGAGAACTAATAATCAGAGAAGCCAGGCTTTGAACACAAGTCTGTTTAATTTCGTAGCCCGTAGCCTTCACTATGTACAATGAGAAGGCATATGATTTCTCTACCTAAATTTCCATCACCCATTAGGTGTGCCTCTTTCATGTTCTATTCTCTTCCTTTGTTACTTCCTTTTCCTGTCTCTCTCATCCTCTTTTCTTATCTCTAAACATTTACTTCTTTTCTTCCCCCTCTCCTTCCATCAGCAGTAGTATTTACCCTTGCAGTGAGGACTTAGAGGTAAGAAATACATAACATAAGATATCCTGAAAATGCTCTCAGTTCTTCAAGATTATGAAGAGTGACCCAGGAATCAAGTCAAGACTTTTTTTTTTTGCTAGTCCAGATGCAGAAAAGAAAAAATGCACAGGCAACAGAAGGACAGGGAACCTGACATTTATTAACCACTTATCATATGCTAGGTAATAGTTGGACACTTCATGTGCATTATCTCAATCCTCATACATTGCAGGGGGTGCATGTGATTCTACCTGTTTTACAGCTGACAAAAGTTAAATGATTTACAAAAGACATACAGCTGGTAAATGGCAAAACTAAGAGCTGAGTCCAGGTCTTAACTGTCTCCAAAGACCTTGCTCTTACATTATAGTTCACTATATTGAGTAAAGATCTGAACACTTCACAAACCAGGTAATCCAGACATTGACACATGACCAGGATATGGAAACTTGGCTGTGCTCAATGTCAAAGCCAGTTTACTTGTCCACAGAGTTAAATGTCTTCAGTTAATTACATGTTGGTAAGAAATTTAAAGGGAACACTCATTGTCTCATTAAAGATCTACAACCTACCATATTATTATAGCGCTGAGAATCGAATTCTAGAATCATACTCTCTTCAAAGGAAAAATTGCAAGCGAAAGTGAAATCTGAATGGTGCCCACCTGCAGTGTAAGCCGCTATGGGAGAGAAATCATTAGTTGAATCTGGATGAGCTTCAAAGTGTAGAATTTTATGACCAGAGGTGTCAAACCACTGCTGCTTAAAGCTAAGTAAGGGCTAATATTAAAGAGAATCTTTGATATTCATCTGTCACAAAATCACTTAAAGTTCTAACCACAGTGTTTTCTAGTGAGAGGACAAAACTATTATAGACAGGTGAGAAAAGGAAAGTCAAAGGCCAATATGCCCAAGAGATTACAAAACAAATGGGCACAAATGATTAAATATACAAATATTGAGAAATAGAAGTCAGCTCTTCTGAGGAGAAACTACTTCCTATGTAAAGGGAAATACTGTGGGGTTAAATAGAGTCACTAATAGGAAAAAAAAAGGAAGATCCTAAATTAAGCAAGAGGTTGGATTAAATGACTTAAATGACCTTGAAGGTTCTTCAACTCTAAAATCTCAAGATTCTAGGATTCTATGAAACAATATGTACATTAAACAAATCAGATCCAAGCCATGTTTTGCTTCTCAGATTAGCAGTCACATCTGAAGTGTAGGGGTGTGGACAAGAGCAATCGAATCAGGATGGAAAGCCAACCCTTCACAGAGGTTTTAGCAGGCAGTGAAGAGAAGAATAAAGATCTCTGAAAACAATGAAATTGGAGAATTTAACAAAAAGTAAATATGGAAAAGGCATATCTCGAGTGGTTCCAAGTAGTGGACTAAATGAAATGCACACAAATTTTATGGTCCAAGTCATGTTCTAAGTAGGGCAAAAGAGAGAGATAAGTCATTCACTGCCTTGGTTCCTTGATGTCTACTCTTTAGGTTTGATATATTTATCTAAAATCTAGTGCCAAACAATTCAATTCAAACAGATCTTACAAACATCTACTTGATTAAATAAGTTTTGAGTGGGAGGGTTCTCACCTTCGGATGTTATCATCTGCTGTGCCTCCTTGGGAAGACCTATACAGACTCCTCCATCCCTCCCTTTGATCGATGACTTTTAACACTTCTTAACTCTTTTCATTTCTTTCTGTCACTATTTTTGATGGCCTATCATCCACATGGGCATTCCTTCTCAAAGGCTGTACTGTGAGTCCCTCCACCTACCCACATTCAATTTCTTTCTTTCTCTCAACTAATACCTTTGCCTCATGCTTCACTGAGCAAAAGAAAGTAGTCAGGCAGGGATTCTCTCATCTTCCCACCAACAAAACTTTCAAACTTCTCCATCAATTTCCTAACCCAGCACCCCCACTGATTTTACTGTGAATGAAGCATCTCTACTTCCATCAAAGTTCAATCCAGTAACCTGAGTTTTAGATTCCATCCTCTCTTGCTTTATCAAGGACCTCTCTCCCACTCTTCCTGTATCATTAATTTCTCCCTTTCTCCTGGGCCCTTATCATCACCTTACAAACATACTATATTGTCTCAGATCCTAAAAACAAAAACAAAGAGAGACAAAGGATTTTCTAATACCACATCCTATTCTAGCTACTGCCCTGCATCTCTGCTCCCCTTCACAAAACTTCTTGAAGTGTTATGAACTGTCAGTCTTTATTCCCTCACGTCACGCTCACTTTCGACCCATACCAGCTGAGATTTTGCGCCCATCACTCTGCTGACACTGCTCCTGGTTGGCAATAAACTCTGTGTTGACAAATCTAATGGCCACTTCTCTGTTCTTATTTCATTGGACTCCTCAGCAACATCTGACATGGTTGAGTACTCGCCTCCATCTATTTTATTTTTATTTTAGAAACGTAACCTTTTAACATCCAGATCACAAGTGAAGAGTGAGCTTCGTTATAGAAAGAGGGATGTTGCATCCACACTAAAGTCAATGGAGGCATTGTGTTAGAGTGCTGATGGGAAAAAACACGAGTTGCAAAAGATTACACATAGGATGTAATTTTGGTTAAGCTGAAAAACAAGCAAAACCAATCATTGTTTAGAGATACATACATTTCTGAAAGCTATGAAAAAAGCATGAAGATGATAAATATACAATCCAGGATAGTGGTTACCTCCAGGGGACATAACACAGGTAACAATATACTGGTAATTTTACAATATTTAAGTTGAATAGTCGGTTCATAAGTGTTCATAATGTTTGTTCATTTTGTTGTTATACTCTGCAATGAGAAAGTAGCTTAAACTAGAATGATAATAGCGGCCATGGACGGAATGAACAAATTTTGAATATGTTCAGTAAAGAGAGTCAACTGAAGATGTGGGGAAATGGGAGAAAAACAAAATTTAAGGATGATTTCTTGATTTTTGACTTGAGTAATTAGGAAGATGTGGTGTCATTTACTGAGCTAGAAAAGAGCAAAACAGAAGTATTTTGGAAACATTTTGCTTTGGAGAAAAATTAAGTTTTTGCTTAGGCTATGTGAGGTTTGGGATGTCTGTTGACATCTAAGTAAAAATATTTGCACGTAAATCTCTTCAGAAGGGTAAATAGCCATTGATCTTCATTCCCTCAAGCCTTAGGCAAAAATACCTAAGAATGATACTTTCAAGTTTAGCTAGTTTAGGAGTCAGCAAACTATGGCCCACGAGCCAAATCTTGCACATTCCTTCTTTTTGTACAGCCTGTGAACTAATAATAATGGTTTTTACATTTTTAAATGGTTGAAAACAAATCAAAGGAAGAATCATTTTTACTGTAATGTGAAAATTATGTGAAATTAAAATATCAGTGTCCATAAATAAAATTTTATTGAAACGCAGCTTTGTCTGAGTATTTATATATTGTCAATAGCTGGCCACACACTACAATAGCAAATTTTGGTAGTTGTGACAGAGATTGTATGGTCCACAAAGCCAAAAATACTTACATCTGGGCCTTTAGGGAAAATATTTGCTAATCCCTAAACTAGACTATTATGAAATGCTTGCTAACCAAGGTGGTAAAATAACATCTAATATTTAATCGTTCACACTTAACCAATTTTCCCAGTATTTTTAAATGACAAATGAACAAATTGCCTCTCCAAAAAGCTTCTCCATATGAGGAGAGGTGGCTGCAGTTGGTAATTCTGTATATTCTCCCTCTTTGGGGATCTCTCACTGGTCACCCATGATGGGGAAGGGCTCCTCCTTTACAGCTCTGGCACAAATATGAACATGTAACACTTTCTTTATTGTGTCCACAGTAGAGTTTAGCAAGACCAAAACATGCAAATAAGACTTTTAAATTAGCGAATGAATAGACAACGCCTAATTGATAATAACAGTTCTTAGGAATGGTTCCTTCATCTTTATTTTGGAGACCCTTTCTAGGTGTTCTGAGTGGTGAGGGATCACCTTCCTCCAGTACCTGGGTGCGTTCTCAGGCAAGTCTGAACACTATGGAGCCCAAACTCAAGAATGCTTTCCCAATAGAAGCGAAATATGGTTGCTCACTTCCCTGTATTAGGCCTGCCTTTGACAGATACTGATTGTGGGACTGTCTTTCCAAACGCAGAAAGTGGTTTCTCTCTTCCTGCCCCTTACCTAGTGGTCATTCAAAAAGTGTTTTTCATGGAGGATCATGCCTGGAATTAAATTTAATGACACAGGAAAGGGCCACATGGCGTAAATATTGGCCTCATTCTCTGCTGACATAAGTAACTGTGCCCAATCCACCAGGAGACAGTTTTGCTCTGTTTTGTTAGCAAAGGATCATTCAGTTTTAAGGAGTAACTAAAAAAAAAAAAAAGCTTACTAGTAATTTTTTTAAATGCCAAGTTATATATGAGTACATATTTAAAGAATTAAAGGATGTGTTAAAAAAATTTCACACTTTTAGGTTTACATCTTTTGGTGTTTCATAAAGAAACTGATGACAGAAATAGTGGTAAGTGATGACAACCATGTAGCTTAGAGTAAGAGAAAAGAGATCCTACAACAACCCACAGGAAGATCAAAAACCAAAAAGGGAGATTCAGACATTGAAAGGAAGCCAACAGGGCTTGGTAACAGTGGTATATCTCAGAGGATGGGTTTCTTTCTTTATGAATGCCTGTGCTTACTCTGAATAAGCCAAGCTCCCTTAATTCAATTCACAATCATCTGCGAGTTCATAACCCTAAAATGTTACTCATTGTTATGATAGTAATTTGTTTCATAGTATATGAGAAAGTTAACCTCCTACCTTGGAGGGTTTTTAATGCAACAGATAAACACTTAAAAGAAAAGAAAAACCTTTTCACACATCTCTAAACAGGTCATTATCAAATATGAGTAAAAAAAACAAGAATCAATAAGCCCAGAGTTTCCCTTGTTTAGCCTAATGTGATATAACTTAAATATTCCTCAGCCAATTTACTGCTTTGGACTTGGACATAAAATATGGCCCATTTTCAAGAATTTTATCTGTACTATATATAAACAAAATATAATCTATAAATTATTTTTAAAAACACATTGTTTTGACTATGTGTAATAAAAGGATAATAAGAATAAGCTCTGGATTATAAAAATGGCATACATTTAAGCAGAGAGAAAATGACTCAACATTGAGATTTTTATCATAAAATAAGAAGAAATAATTCTAATTTGTTGAATGAATTCATTTTTAAACATTATTTTTTAAAATAGAGAAATGCAATTTATAGAGAAAGGAAGAATGTGCAATTATTCTACAACTTATATTTTATTAATAGGCCCTTTAGCTCCTTGAATGTTATTGAGGTATCATTGATAAGTATCATCAGTTACCAAAAACCATTAGTACCTCACAAAAAATAAATGTAACTTAATCACAAGGCTAGCTCATATGCACACACCCATGAGTTTCACGAATAAGCATTAATGTTACAAAATCTCCAGATAATAAAGCAATGGATTGTCAATAATTTCTTAAATTTATATAAATTATGAAAAGCTCCATGCTATATCACTAATTGAGAGCTTCTGAAAACTAATATTCAGATGGCTATTTTTTGTGTCTCCAAAGATTTGTTAACACTGGCATAAAGTTTACATAAGCACTTTTACTTCAAAAAATATTTAACTAGACTTCAATAAATTATCTCCCCAATAATTACTAAAAGGAAAAGTCCATAAGACTGAAAAATATATTTGATATCTTTTTCATAGCTTTGGGCAGTCTGATGGCACTTGTCTGAGCAGTGACTATCAAAGAAGTACAATGCTGCAATATTTGGAGGAGAAAGGTGGCTAGATGTCAAGTTTTACTTTAAAATGTTAATGTCTCCAGAGTCTTCCTTCTTTCTAGCTTTTGGTTTGGCTTATAAAGCCATAATAATATTTACAGAATCCAAAAGGTAAAATTTACCAAGGTTTAACAATAAGAGAATTAAATGAATTATTGATTTTGCTTTGTGGCATAAGAGTTACTGAGGTAGTAAATGAAATAGAAATAAATTATAATCAAACATTACTGAGGCATCAGTTTTTAACTAACATGACAACATGTGGCAAACAGGAGTAAGACTTACATAATGTTAAAAATTTCTTAGCAATATAAACATATCTCCCTGGACAGTTTCAGTCTTTAAGTTCATGTCAAAATTAGCTTGTTAATCAGTACAATCATACTTTTTGATTCCCTATCAGTGAATCAGAGATTCTCCAAGGAAATTCCTGCACCTTCCTCTTGCCCTCCTTTCCATCCCCCTTGTCTCACTTTATAATTGTTTTCTCGACACATACCTTCTTCTGGTGTCTGTACTCTCAACGATTCACTCCAGTCACTCCAGCTACCTTTATAAAGATGTAGCCTGGAGGACACCTGAAATTCATATTCCGTAAACGGTTTCAGATCCCACAAATCATGTCTTCCTTTAGCATTTGTAGTATTAACCTTGGATCAGACAAGATTTTTAAAGGTTCCTATTAATATTAAATTAATTAAAGAATTTTAACATAAAGATAAAAAATTAGATCAGATAACGCTTTTTATTTTTTCAGCTCTGTCATTCAATGAGAAGAAATATCAATGACTGGGTTATCGAATGCACATAATGTTAAACTGAAATAAAAGTTTCTCAAAAAAACAAAACCAAAAACCTCTTGAGATTAAGAACCATCTATATGAGCTCCAAGGGGGATCATGAGACCAGTTGAAAAAGGAGTAAAGGTTGAAAACCACAAATTTTCAAAAAGGCCTTGTTGAAGTTTCTATACTAGAGATTCTATTTTATTTGGTCACAATTCAAATGTGATGCAAATTTTAACACAGATTAAGAACTTGGGTTCAAACAGAAAATTTTAATTATATAAGAATAATTATAAAAGAATAATTATATAAGAAAAGTTTAATTACTATACTTCTCGAGCACCAGCTATACGTGAAACTAATCCTTTGTCATTATAAGCTATTATATTTTTACAAAAGCCTTGGAAGGAATTATAATCCTATACTTTTTACTGTAAAAAAATAATATCTAGTATTATATCAAAGTGTGTGGCTTTATCTTTGGAATATTAAATTCCATATAAGCCTCTGTGGACATTCTCTAATGTTTCTCTTTCCAATATGTTAAAAAATTACTAAAAAGTAATCATGAAGCAGGGAGTAGAATAACAAGAAGAAATTCGTCCTTCACTAGAAATAAATTATAAAAAGTTAATACTGCTTGTGTCTTAAAAAATTTCAAAATCAATGATTAGAATTTAAGATATTTCTTAAATAAATTGAGGTGTATATGAATTTCCGGTATATTTCCAGTATATACTTTTGGGATAAATATTCTTACAGTCCATATATTACTGGTACAAAAAGTCAGAGATCTGTGCAGTAATACTAAAAACCCCTCCTTGTTTTCCCCCATAAGTCTAAAGACCATTACCATATTCCAGGACCTGCTGCTACAGGGCCGATATCGGAGTCGATTAAGCAGCACCAGCCTCTCATCTCTCCACTGAAGAGTGCATCTGCTCACAGAAGCATTTACAAATTTGATTCTGATGTCCCACGGAGGAAGAGGCCTCACTGGTAACCAGGACAAACAAAAAAGTGTGATTCAGGCTCCAGGATTGGAAATTGCCTTATGTATTGAAATGAGCTATGAAGAGTTGAACAAAACTCATTTCTAAGATGCACAGCCATCACATTTGGTGAAATAAACAAGAGAGAAGTCCCTGGCTTTTAGAAAAAAGTTTGATCACTTCTAAATCATTAAAATAATTGCCCTTAATCTACCCTCATTTTTACCAAATAAATAATTCCATCCTACGATCCACCTGGGTTACACTATGCCTAAGTGAGCAGGAGATGGGGAAAAGGAAGTAGGGCCCACCACCAACACTGGTGATCATGTTGATTCCATTTAATCCAATGATTTAAAGAAAACCAGTGTGCCAAACCTGAGAATTCCAATGGCTGAGAAGGCAGAGGTGGCTTGTGGTGATCACCTTAGGAGGAGAAGAAATATCGGTAGGAAAAGTCACAGAAAAGGGACATAGGAATAGAAGGATAGAAGAAAAGAGTAAGAGGAAAAGAAAGTGGCTTAGAGATGAATAGTCTATGTAAACCGATGGAAAGTAGGATGGGAAGAAGTATCATAGGAAAATGCATAGTAAATGCCTATGTTAAGACTTATAGTTAGCAGTATGTATGCAAAGAGATGCTATAGGAAGACAGAAGAGAAACACACAGTGTGAGGCTGAAACTTCAGCCACCCAAAAGCCTAGTCCTACTTGGGAAGGGCAGAATTTGGGAATGCCTAAGACTGGCCTTTGATTCAACTGGGCCAGTTATATTTGCTCAGAAATGTGCTGGGCCTGGCTCACTCCAGCAACCGAGCTGATGAGAGGAGTGGAGGTAAGTATTCTCAGAGTAAGATGCATTTAAATTTTGATACATTTTATTTACAGTTTGCACCAGCTGCTCTAGCCCAGTAGACCTACATGTAACCTAACTCAGAACAATGGAGTAGCTATGGGGGTAAAAAACACCTCTGCCAAGAAGGGCCCACACTGAGCTTCTTGAATAACCTCACAGGACCCTTACCTCAGTCAGATGGTATCACTGGCAGCTGGTGCTTTCATGGGATTTGAAGCTGGGGGCTCTTATTTCTCCAATAGATAGAATAATGTTGAATATCCCATTTTACACAGCCATGTCTATATAGCTCTAGGATCATACACGCTTTTACTTGTATCAAAGTAATGTCTATTCTTTGTCTATGCCTGCTGGCCATTTTCAATCAATGACTACCCCTTTTGGAATAATCACATAGAGAACATTTGAATGATTTTTAAAATAATGTTCATATGCCAAGGTATGACACACACAAAAAGTGAAATAAAATGTACCTATGTCTAAGAATGTAAATGTGGATGGAGGTGAAGAAGCACTTCCAAGACTGTTGATAGCAGTAACTCTGGCTATGTAGCTGGATTCAGGTGACTGAGGGGTTAAGTTGATTCCAAGGTCCAAATGGTCACAATAATGGTCATTACATGGCTTCTGCCAAGTTAAATTTTTGGGTCCATTTAACCTGTAAATAAAAGACAATTATGTTTAGCAGAATACTCTGTGCTATTTTCTCCTTTTGTTACAAAAGAACAAAATGTTCAAATATTTAAAGTTCTAGACTTTTTTTTTTTAAGGTCAGCGTTATTACAAAGAGATACGCTATGGGAATTTTTATATTCTGTGCTCATAAACAGGACCATATTTATTTTCTCACCCGTTTTTTGGTAGGACTGAGATTGTTTTTTTGATGTTCATATAGATGAATAACCATACCTACACTGCCCGAATTCCCAAAACCCTGGCTGATATCTTGGCTCCTTAGAGCAGACGCAGTCATTCTCCAAAGGCTCCAAGGCCACCTTGGCATTTACTGCACAGAAGTGCCAGTTCCCAGCACAGACAAGAACCCTGGGCAGTACTTCTTTTCCCCCATCTCCTGCTCACTTAGGCATAGTGCGGCACAGCTGGATCTTTGGGTGGGATTATGGAATCAACTCCAAGGAACAGAATCTCCCAGACTCTCTTTGTGGACTCTCAAGTCAGACAAAGGTGCTTTGAAAAGAAACTCCTGCAAGGCTAATGGAAAGCTACCACAAGGAAGAGTCTATATATCATGACCCATGAGCTTGCAACTGCAAAAGAGGGAAGGAGTATAATGCAGCCAGTTTAACCCTACTAGAGCAGGGAAGAACATTCATAATGTGCACCTCGAATGCTCTGAAGAGTTAGACATCAGACCTAAGACATCAGTTCTCACACTTTATATGAATGAATCTGTTTTAAATGATGAACACTAGGGTTTTTTTTTAAATATCTAATTTAAAAATTAGATATTTAAAAAAATATCTATCCATCTATCTAGAGGTGTTTACTGCTTCTTCTCCTTGGTAAAAGTAGAACTGTTAGATATTTCTAAATGTCATCTAACAGAAAGAAAGCTGCAAAAACAGCCTCTCACTCACTGTAAAGTATATGCAGTATATAGGTGAGTGTCTTGTCCTCTGTCCCAGGTGCAGGCCACAGTTCCACGTTCTCCCTTTTGTATACAGGATAAGTTTTGAGGCTGTTCTGGAACAACTTTAAAAATAAAGAGCAAAACTTTATATTTTAAATGGCACACAGGTGGTATTTCAATCACATTGTTATTATTTGTCAACAAGATAACAATACTTCCCCTAAGTCTCCCATACCCAGACAATGTGAGAACTATTTTAAATTCTAACAAGTTCAGATCTGCCTTGAGACATGAATTTCTTTTACTAACAGGAGTCATAACAGTGAACATGGATCGAACACTTACTGCATGCCAAGTCCTATGCTAAGTGTTTTATGTATGGTTTTTCTCAGTTAGACCTCATAGTAAGCTACATCCAGTACATATTATTACTACTCTCATTTTATCAAAGAGGAAACTAAAACTTAGAAGTTAAGCATCTTGCCCAAAATTACAAAACAACAAAGTGGCAGAACGAAGGCTCCAGCCAAGGTGCAGCTGACTTGAGTCCAAGCCTTTCACCACTATATTCTACTATTCTCCTTGACAGTTGAACATCCAGTACTAAGTCCATTATCCCAGTGATGATGAGTTTATTTTTTCAAATTGATGCCTACTAAAATATTAGGAATCTTTAAAAATTAGGGGCTCTTTTTCTCTATTGACCTGAAATTTGCAGCCAAGACATTTCTGCTCACTGGCTCTAGTCATATCCAGACTGTACCACCTAAATTTAATTTCTGCATCATCACTTGGAGTACTTTATAAACATTTACAAATTAATTCTTTATGTACATAGATTCTGAGTACCTTCTGTGAAGTAGCCACAGTGCTAGCTGTGGAAATAACAAGGTGTACAAGCAGACATAATCCTTTCTACCATAAGGTGCACATTTTTAAATGAAGACATTTTACAGTCAAAGACAGGACCCAAAGCTAAGAGTTTCTCAAATATAACAGTCATCTTATTTTACCCTCATACTTAGACCCACATGTAGAGAGAGGTTTCCTTTGAGTGAGATAAAACAAGTATACCACTGAAGCCCTAGATATTGTCCGCACTGAAAAAAAAGCTGTAATTGATGGAACAAGTGTTTTGTTTTGTTTTGGTTTTAGTTTTTTGTTTTGGTCTTAGCATACACCAGAGATCAGGTACTGTGTGACCTTGGCCAAGTTAAATTCTCAGGCCTTCGGTTTCTTTATCAATAAAGAAATATTATTATGGCTCACATAGTTTTGTTTATTAGTTTATTCTATTTTCCTAGAATAAACTTTTCTGTGTGTGTATTATATATGTTTATATATATACTTTATACATCTGTATATACCACTTATGACTGAGCCACATTAAATACTACATTAACTTTTAATTTTATGTACTTTTTAAAATCTTTGAGTTGATAATGAATTCTCTTGTTTTCCACTGTTTAGTTTTTTTTTTATTAGTAGTAGTATGGTTCCAAACTCTCAAGCCAATTATCTGAATCATTGTTCGACGTCTTCAGATGCATTGAGAATTCTATCAGTTTCATCTTCTTGAAGAGCTCTTTCTTGGAGCCTTGTGAACTTTCCAGTACAATGAGTTTGCCTCTACACCTGGTACACAGCTGTCATTCTGGGGTTGCCAATCTTCAATGTCCCAGAAATGCCTTCTTTTTTCTGTGTTGGAGCTTCTGTTTCTTAGAACTAATGTTTTCTTCTTTCTTGATTTAATTATATGTGTTAGTGGAATATATCCTTCAGTAGTTACCTGGGAAAAGGTGCAAGGGAGGAAATATTTTGAGCTTGGCTAAAGATGTCTTTATTTTATCCTTACACTCTACTGATACTTTGGCTGAGTATATAATTCTAGGTTTAAAGGCATTTTCATTCAGGATTTTGAAGACTATGCTCTTTTGTCTTCTATATTCTAGGTTGCTGTTGAGAAGCCTATAGCCATTCTGATTCTTGAACCATTGTAATGGTCTATTTTTTCTCTTTGGAAGATTGTAGAATCTTCTCTTTGTCCCCATTATTCTGAATTTTCATAAAGATGTGCCTAATGAGGGACGATTTTCATTCATTCTTATGGAGTTCATACATTATGGGAACTTTTTTCCTTTAGAATGAGAAGCATTCTTGCTTTATTTTTCTGAGATTCTCTCCTCTTTTTTTTTTCTAAAAATCCCTAGTTCTATTGATTGGACTTTCCTCTAATTTTATATTTTATCCCTTATATTTAAAAATTCTTGATCTTTTTGCTCTACTATGAGGGATAAACCTCCTCAGTTTAGATTTCTATTCTCCTACTGAGTTTTTTATTTCTGCTTTTTTAGGGGGGGGTGTGGAGAAACATATTCTATTCTCTGAATATCTCCTTTTCTATAGCATTCTATTTTTGTTCTGTATGCGATATTTTCTCTTAATTCTCTAAGAGTATCAAGGATAGCTTTTTGTTTTTTAACATTTCTTCTCCCTGAATACACTCTATTTCTTCCACCTTGCTTATATACTTTGTTCCACATGCTTGTTTTGATTTCTGTCTTTTGTGTTAGATATTTTCCTTAGATTCTTGTATTTTTACTCATATATAGGAGCGAGACACTAAATTACAGACTGGAGCTCTGAGTTTGTGTCAATTGAGGGGCATTTGCTGCCTCTGGGTTTCACTCCAGGATGATCTGGTTAGGTTTTCTGGGGAACCACTCTTGTCAATAATTTTAGATATTTCCTCTTGGCCTAAAAAGAATTTTCAAATCTGCCTGGAGGAGGTTACAGGCCTGAAGGGAACTGTATGTAAATATCCCTTTAGAACCTCTGTTTTTCAGTATGGTACTACCAATGTCAACCAAGCTGGCTGAAGCTTGTTCAGTGACCCTCTTATACCAAGCTTCTAGTCTCATGCTAACGTAGTGGAGCAATAACTGTCTGGCTCCATAGAATTGGGAAGGGGATCTAAGAATCTGTGTTGTAAATCGATTTTCAATCAACATTCTCATTTTTAGTCCCACTTTTACTTACTCCCAGAAGTATATCATCAATTTCTGAGTCTTTCTCAGGTAGAAGCTTCTGCATGAAATCAGGCTGCATCTTGACCTTTCTCACTGCCAGCTGAGGGCTAAGCCAGTTGTCACTGATTCACCTGCTTCCATCTTCTGAAATATTGTTGATGTGTCTCTCCTCCCATTCTTTTGTTCTTTAGGGTTTGTGCCTTTAGAAAACTTTCCTTATTACATCTTGGCTTTATTTCAGGGAGAATGAAAGTAAATGCACATATTCAAAACTACCATCTTTACCCTAACCCTTCATATGGTCTTTTGATGACCAAATGAGATATAAAATACTTGGTACTTTTACATAATGACAAAGTTAGTCCTCGTTCTCACCTTTACTCCTAAAATTTTGCAGAGACTCTCATTTTAAAGACAACAGTTTTAACCCACAAATCACTTTTCTCAATCTGGATTCCCTGGACAATGAAATCAAGGCATCTGCTTCAGCCCAGGACTTGGTTTTGGCAGAGACTGTCTGTTCCAGGGGAACCAGACCTAATTCTCCTCAATGCAAATGTATAATAGCTGATGCCAAGGAAAGGACAGAAATCAAAGCCTCTGACAATTAAAATAGTTTACAATACAATAAATTATTATTGTTTTTAAAAGCCCACTTATTATGAGAAATAAAAAGTATTAGAAAAATAGATTTTAGAAATAATCAACAGCCAAACATATATTGAAAACAACCAAGTAAAGTTCCATTGTCTTTTGTTTATTGCCTTGAATACCTAAATAAGTTTGTGGAGCCATCCTATGAGGTTAAACTAGAGTACTGATTGCTTAGTTTCTACACAGTCTGGATGAGCTTTGGGCAGCAGAGCAACATAAGCACAGAAGGGGACAAGGAAGAAAAGGCTTAAAAGTTGTTTCCCCATTTCCAGTATTGAAGAGCTAGCCAACTTTATGAGAGGCCTTTTCAAGATATGCAATGGCACTATGGACTATCACAAAAAAGAAAATGGGCTGCTTACTCCCTCATTGAATAGGATTAAGCTTACTATAGTAGGTGAAACCAACATTCATTGTGTCTTTTCTTGGAATGACTAGCCATACTCAGAAAAAAGTGTTGCTTCCAGTCAGTCCTTGACCTCAAAGGTGCTAAACTTGCTCAAAGAGCAGCCATTTGATGGTGTGGTTATGACTTGAGCACATTGCTCAAGCAACATTCATGCAGCTCCACCCAGCTGAGCTGCACCACGACAGATACCCTTCACCATCTCCCTAGATCGTCCAGTGCTGCAAACTGTAACAAATACATCTGCTTTCTCTGGATGGAAAAGTAAAAAATGAAAAGGAGTTGTAGCACTCTAATGTATCTGAGCAAAGATAGGAAATAGAACGAAATGGCTAAGGACATCGGCAACGATACAGACTTCCAAGGATATTGTTAGCCTACTAAAAAAAAACACAATAAAACAACAACAACAACAAAAACCCCAAAATACCAACAGCCCTGTGGACCCCTGGAATTGACATCACAGGACGGGGAATGCCTAACACAAATATGTAATGCTGGTTCAGTAAAATGACAAATTACCTGGGTGAAATATTCAGGTGTTCTTAGAATGAAGGAGCTGAGGATCATTGGTGTTTTTTTAGAAAATTTTTCATTTTGTCTATAACCAATGCTTATACTTTCTTTTAAGGGAGGCATGCTACCTAGCATGCCACACACATGAAGAAGAGTAAAACTGGATGAAAGAGAAACCCTAGCACTCACCGAAGTACCTCCTATGCGCCTGGTACTAGATTAAGCACTTTGTAACTAAGTGTCATCTAATAACTGCAGTTATTAAAGTATCATAACAGAGATGAGGAACAGAGATGGGGAAACTGAGGCTCAGAGAATTGAAATTGTCTAAGGGTGCACTGCTAGTGACAGGGTTGGAATTCAAAGCTCAGGCTCCTTTGAGGACATCACAGACTCTGAGCTGAGAGCACATGACCCATAAGGGGTATAAACAGGAGTCCTTGAGCTGGAAGAGGAGTACTGGACATAGTTTATGTCTCCTTATCCCGCAATGATTTGCTTGGCCATTGGTTGGTGTTCTGTTCAATGCTTCTAGTGACCCTCCAGGAAGACTGCCTGGCACCAACCATATCCTTACAGATCACAAAGAAGTTCCTATTTTTTCCCGAAAAGGGCCTCATTGAGGCCTATATCACTATCTTTATGACAGGGACCCTGTCCTTGTACCCTGGCCAGTCTATTGTAGCAATTCCTCCTACTCTCCTCATGCCTCTCACCTGTCACTCTGGAGATTCCCTGAAACCACAGAGCATGCTCACTGGTTTGCTTGGCTGAGCCTATAAGGTTGCAGGCTGCAAGCTGAAGGAAGGTGTTCTGCTAGCTCGCCCTGTGCATTGTGGCTTAAGCTGCAGATGGCAACTCTGACATCTTATTCTCAACCCCAGCAGCTACCTGGAGGGACAAGCAGTGTAAGCCAGCAGTATGGGGGAGCCGATGCCCTGTGGGTGAATTTTGACCAATACCAAACAGTTAAATTCTTTTCTCTTTCCCCTGTCATTGAATTTCCATACGTTCTTCCTGAGACCGTCTCTAGTGAACAAGCAATCAGCTATATTTTCTGTTGACTCTGTGACCCGCTCAGTAACTTAAGCATCTTGTATTTATTCTGCTACTTTCCTCAGTCACTCCCTCACTCTTGCTTCCTTGGAGCGATACAACTCCCCTCCCCTCATGAAGTGTTAGCACACTCATTTTGCTTCAGACAGTTTTCTAGAAAACCCAGATAAAGATAATAAATATAATGATAGTTTTCTTTTAACCTCTGCTAAGTATGATAACCTGCGGTCAGGAATGAGTGTGGATGGAAGAACTATTTTTTGTCCATTAAATTAGAGAGAGAAGAAGTGCTCTCAGTCTTGAGTAGTCAGCCTGGGTTGCATAGGTCAAAAGAGACATCTCCTTCGTCTTTTTAGGAGGTTATAGCTTTGTACAAATTCTCTTAAGTCAAGAAGGCAAGAAGACTCAGCTGCGGAGTTCTATTTTCCTGCCACTGGAGTCCAAGCACAACAGCTAAAGGTCTTAATGGCCAAAAAGTGCAGGGAGGGTGGGGGGTGGGGTAGAGTGGGGAGGGGAGAGAGAGAGATTGAGACATAGAGAAATTGAGAGATTGAGAGAGAGAGGGGGGCTATGAGAATAAAGGCTTGCCAAATAAGTCTCCAATTTTATTGATTTTTGGACTTCTCACATTGAGATGCTTATGCTGTTATCAAGATAAAATATATCCATGTGGTGGGAGAAGAAAGGACACTGTCTATATTTGGATTTCTGCTTAACACATGACGAATACCAAAAGATCACCAATTTTTAAGAATTCAGAATGGAATGCTCACCACCAACTGAGATCTCTGCTCCACATATTCGAATCTCATCACTACTGCTACAGGCTAGTTTGCAGACAAACAGTGTTGTACCCAGAGGAAGACCGGAGACTTGAGAACTGAGAGAGTAACCATGCTGTAACTTGATTCTTCTGTCGAATTTGTAAAGGATTAACCTGTTAAAACTGGAATACTGAGAGCAGCCTTGTTTGGGCTTCAAAGAGCACGAAATATTGACAGCTGATCCAAGGGAAATTACATGGGAAGGCTTCACAGTCACATCTCCTCTCTTACACACATCTGCAGTAAGACACAAATGCAACACAGTTGGCACATAAGAAAACCATTTCAAAATGGAGAGTTTGTGCAATTTCCCATAAAATTACACTCATTAAATCATGGAAATATACATAACCTCCATTGTTCTGGGTGTATTGGTGATGCACAATGAGAACAGAAGGCAACCATATTAGAGTCTAACTGTATCTGAATTCAAATATGCATCCTTCTCAAAACAATGATACTATAACCAGAGCTATAAATAGAAAAGTGGTGAGAAAATAGGGTTGGAAGAACATGCAAGAACGGTTCCAGGAAAAGCCAATCTCTCTATATGTAAATTATTCACCAGACTACTAAAATGTACTTCCCAGAATAAATCACATTTCTTTCCATCACCATTTATGATTTACAATGCTTACTTCAATATTCATACCAAAAAAGAAAAAAAGAGACCATTTTAAAAAGGCCATTACAAACTTTAAGGGGCAGATTTTGGAATTATTCTCTCTTTTGCTATATCAGTGGCATCAAGTATGTGTAATCTATAACATTATTTTATAACAGAAAATATTCTGGGGCTCTGGCATGTTTGTAGTTGGCAACAAGGCTGGAAATTAGGTCTCATCATGCTATGTTTTTGTATTCCTTTAAGATATAAGGCCCTGGGCTGGATGAACCATTACCCAACACAGCTAATATGAAATTATATTAATGTATTCTACTTTTTAAAAGAGTGCTCCGTAATATATACTATATGCAAGTTACCACATTCGACTCTTATTTCAAAGAAAGGTCATTTTTACTCTCCAGAAGTTTTTGTATAAATAAATATGACAACTATTCAGAATTAACAGTTTTGGGTAGTACTTAGTAATTGCCCATGAAAGAACCTCAGGAATAGAGACTCACTATGAAGTTTTAGATGTGATCAAAGCCTCCACTGAAAGTCTTTTTGGGATAATTGTAAAATTGCTTTAATCAACTACCATAGATAGGAATTGATTAAAAAAAAAAAGTTATTTAAATCAAATAAAGGAAGTACTGAATTCATTTAACATAAGTTCTTCTATTTTCAGAACTAAAACTAAGTTCTTTCTCTCTCTTATCTCACTTATATGTTTGTTTTCTGCTTCTTTGATCTTTGGTTCTAATGAGCCAGAAAGTCAAAAAGCTCCCAATAGAGAAAGCAAAGAAAATGCCATTATTATCATTATTTAGCATAGCTTAATTCACCCATGAATATCCTCTTTTAAAACATACTATAATGTAAAACATTCATTCATGATGCTGAGCTTAATTACCTAGTTAGTCACTTTCTTAAGAGGAAATATTATGATCAGACTCATACATTACTCATTAGTATAAATTAAATAAAATACATATTAGTTACATACATAGAACCAGACTTATCTGCTCACATAACAAAAGACTGACTATAAAAGACCAACTATCAGATCATTTACCACAAATGCATATTTCATCTGTAACTGAGAATTGAAACCCCTAAGCCTTCCATAAATTTAATTACAGAAATATCTTACCTATTTTTCCTTTAACCACCAGCAACATGATGTTAAGAATAAGTTCCAAATAGCACACTCTAACTGTATGTGCCATGAACTGTCACCTCTGGAATAGTTCTATATTTTTCCTTGTAAGAGAAGACAGATGTACTCATGTTAGATATATTCAGAAAATACTAGTACCAACATCATTCAGAAGGGCTTAAAATGCCCCTTTAATTTTCTCCATATTGTTAAGATTTTGTTCGTTATTTTAAAATAATGAAATATACCTTTAAAATTAATAAATTGAACATTTTAGCCACCTCTAATCCCTATGTCACTTAAGCTTCTTGGGGTCAGTAAAGGGTAGGAGAAGAGACATGGCCTATGGGTTTAAATACTTTGAGACTACTGGCAAGTTACTTAACCTTCTGAACCTCAATTCTACACTATTTTTTTCCAAACAAGCTGCATTATCATAGTCAAACACAGTAGTGTGAAATCCCAAGACTAATGAGAATTTTTTATCTAGTCATGAGCTTCTGGAAGTAGCAGGAGATTAAAAAGTGGCTCATAATTCCCCTTGAAATTAGTAAAAGACTGATCTCTTTGGCAGTAAGAAAAGAATTCCAAGGGTACTAAGGGGGTTGTTTGGGTTTTCTATACAAGTTCAATTTTATTTGTGTCTTTGCTTGCTTATTTATTATTTACCATTTTACTAAGTATTGTCATCTTAAGTGGTTTGGAAAATGCAAGCTGGTGATTTCCGACTATTTCCAAATATAAACCTAAGGAATGGCTCTACTAGTCATCAGCAAATTCTCTAAATTCTATTAAAGGTGAACCAAAAATTCATAAAGTAGGCTGGAAAGTTCTGTGATGCCACGCCATCGGGAACCAGCCAATACAAATATTCACTTATTCCCATAACCTAGTAATGTGCCAGAACATACGAGAGAGAAAAATTCACTTATTTATTCAACAGTGGTGGTTACCTTTCATGTGCCAGTCACAACATTAAATTCACTTATTCATTCAACAGTGGTGGTTACCTTTCATGTGCCAGTCACAACATTAAGTACTAGAGACACAACAGTCTTGCTCTTGTGGGCTTCTAATGAAGTGCCCACTTGCTCCTTTGACTCCTCTACCTCTAGCCTTGTCATCACTCAGGGTAGCCCCCAATAATACTAGCATCTTTTCAATTGTCTTTGCAGGTTGCTATTCCTTCTCCTTCTGATGTTTAACTCTTGCAGGACCTCAGCTCACTCAAGACATTATTTTTTCTCTATTTCTACTCTCTCCCAGGGGATCTCTTCTTCACCCAGTGCTAGATATCATCCGTATGCTAAAGTCTCTCAGATGCATATCCTCAACTCAGACATCAATCACTCTGAGCTTCAGTCTCACATATCTGTCTTCTTGGCATCACTTCTTGGATGTCTAACAGACTACTCAAAATTAATGTGTTCAGTTCAAATTTTAAGTCTCCCTTCTCCAAAGTGGTTCTTTCCTCAGCCTTTTCTAACTCAGTCAATAACATTTTTATCCCTAGTTGCTCAAAAACCTACAAGTCAGCCTTGATTCTACCCTCTTCCCCATTTCCTACAACCAAACCAACATTAAGTCCTGTCAATTTTAACCTCCTAGATATATCAGAGATCAATACACTTCTCTCCTTTTCTACCATCCTCGCCATAGTCCAAACCACTGTTCTCTCTCCCCAGATGACTAAAGTAGCCCCTAAGTCATTTTCATATAGCTGACCACCTTTTAAAAATATAAATCAGATTATGTTACCTCTTCATACCACCACTATGTAAAACATTTTAATGGGTCCCCATTGCTGTTAGAATAAAATCCGAAGGCCTTACCACACACGACTGCTCAACCACTACGTGGCTTCACCTCTCCCGTCTGGCCACCATTATTCGCTTTGCTTTTTTTGCCCTGCTCACTTTGCTCCATTCATGCTGGCCTTCAGACTGTTCCTTGAATAAGACATGCCTTTTGCTGTTCAGGGGACTCTGTACTTTCCATTTCCTCTGCTAGAATCCTCCACCACCCCCCTTCTTAGTGGCTGACTTATTTGCATCCCTCAGATCTCATATCATGTGTTACTTCCTCAAAGAGCCCCTCCCTGACCACCTAGCCATAGTGGTCCTGCCCAGCTAGCTACTTTCTACTCATTACTTTGTTTACTGCCTTCATTGTATAATCTGTAACTACTCTGTTTATTTTTTGATTACTTGCTTGTTATCTATCTTTGTGCTAGAATTTAAACTACCATGAGAGTAGGAACGTTGACTGTCTTACTCACTGCTGTGTGCCAGCACTTAGCATGGGGAAAGAATACTCAATAAACGATTATTAAGAGAAAGAAGGGAGTAAAGGAGGGAGTGAGGGAGGAAGGGAAGAATAAGAACTATAGTAAATTCCCTAAACTTCCCTGTATCTCTGTGGTAGCAATAATAATGGCCCACCAAAAATGTCTATGCACTAATCCCCAGAACTTGTGAATATATTACATTACATAACAAAGGAACTTTGGAGATGTGATTAAAATTAAGGATCTTGAGATGGGGAGATTGTCCTGGATTATCCAAAAAGGCTCAATCTAATTAATTACATGGGCCCTTTAAAGTGGATGAGGAAGGCAGAGAGCTGTGATGTGTGAAGGACTGGACCTTCTGCTGTAGGCTTTGAAGATGGAGAAAGGGGCCCTGAGCCAAGAAATACGGTGGCCTCTAAAGTCTGGGAATGGATCTCAATTTGCAGATAATATGTATTTCTCGTGGGTCTTGGTTAAAAATGTTTGAGAAACACTGAACTAAATAGAATTCCGAGTTTCTTTCTCTCTAATCCATAAAGTCCAAGGTCATGGCTTGCAATGGCCTCTATGGGCTAATTCCTGTCTTCATCATCAGACACATCTACCATCATTCTCTGCTGACGCTCAACTGTCTAGTAACACTGAGCTGCTTATTGTTTCTCTGCACATTGAATGCTAATTCATGCTTATGTGTCTTTGCTTGTGCCATTCTCTTACCTTTTCACTGTTCTTCAACTGGTTAAGTCTTATTCAATCCATCCCAACACAGCTCAGACAACCTTTTATTCAGTCGTTCATCCAACAAATATGTGTTAGGCAGTTTCTATATGTCAGGAGCTTGGGACAGAGTGCAGAAGAAGACAGACAGGGTTTTGGCTCTCATGGAACCATTCTGGAGTAGGAAGACAGACAAAGAAATAAATAAAAAAGAAATTCGGATAATAATAGAAGAAGAACATAAGAGAGGCTAAAGGGAGAAAGAGGCTGGAAAGGAGAGAAGCTGATCAATGAAGGTGTTTCTAGGGGGTGAAGCTTCGGCTGAGATTGGCGCAGGCCAATGAAAACTCAGAATTTTCCTGACAGAAAATGGTGAGTGCAAAGCCAGAGGCAGAGCAACAAGCTTGCTGTGGGTGAGGCACAGAAATAAGGTCAGAGTGGCTAGGGAAAGGACTCTGGGGAGAATGGCATGAAATGAAACTAGAGAAGGCAGGAGCTAGATCTACTATGCGCTCGTTTGCCATGGAAGGGAGCCTGGATTTTACCTTGAGATCTATGGAAAACCACTGATGTTTAATTAGAGATTTTATTTATTTATTTATGAGTTTGGATTGGGGGTGTTACAAGATATGAATTACATTAAACACACATACACAAAAACAACAAACAAACAAAACTAGTCTTGGCCCTTTGTATGGAGGTCAGAGTGGAAGCAAGCACAGCAGATAGGAAGCAACTGCATAGACCCAGGTAAGAAACAATGGTGATGTGGACCACAGTTATAATAGTAGAGATAGAAAGAAGTTGTCGGATCTTAGAAAGCCTTACTTAGGTCTTCACGTTAAGACTGAAGCCTCCTACTAGGATCTCCATAGCATCCTGAATTCTCTTATCTTAGTGTCTGCCATAAGTAGAACTAATTTATTTAGGTATCTACCTGTCTCCTTCATTAGTTTGCAAACTCTTCATGGGCAGAAGCCACACTTTGTTGTACATAGTAAGCATGTACTGAACTGAATGAAACTTAAATGATTTTTCTGTGTTCATCTATTTTACTTCTTGTTTAGCTTAATGTAACTATGTTAAAACTATATTAAATCTTATTCTGCTACATTGTGGCTGATGCCATTAATAAGTTTTTGTTTATTGTTACCTTAGCTGCTTCATTAAAATTTGGAATATTCTCCATAAAGAAAATTATGAATTAAACTAGAAGATAACTGAATGAACAGATACATAGGGATCAAATAGGTTTCCTCTTTCTAACTGTAAAGGGTATCTGCTAGGTATCTTTCAACGTGCATTGCAATTTATAAAGATGTAACATTCTCCAAATAGTAAAATATTCATTTGGTGTCTACGGCCATGCCACCTTGAACGAGCCTGATCCCGTCTGATCTCGGAAGCTAAGCAAGGTCAGGCCTGATTAGTACTTGGATGGGAGACTACCTAGGAAGACCTGGTGCTGCAGGTGTAAAAAATAAAATAAAAAATAAGAGATTGTAAGTTGACAAGGTCCTTGCAATCTGTGAGGTCAACTAAGGGTTGCCTCGCCTAAAAAATAAAATAAAATATTGAATTGGTTATTATGAAAAATTTTTCAATGAGTATATGTGAAACATGTATGTATATATACATAGCTATATATGAAATAGGCAAAATAGAGGATAAATTTGAGTTTACATAGTACATTGATCTAAACACAAACTCGCTCATTTTCTCTGAATATTAGGTAAAATAGCTTCTCCATTTATAAGAAACTCAGAACCCCAAAAGACCTTCAAGTAAATGAGGTATCTTCCAATAAAATGAAACCTCCTATTAACTGTAAACATCCTTCATACAGCCTGCTTGGAGGGTCGATATTAAAACTACAACTCTATCTTGAATCATAAAAAATACGAGTGTGCTATGTCATTGACTCATTACTCAAATTATGACAGTTTCCAGACAGTGAAAACAATGTCTCAATGAGGAGGGTGGGAATAGCCAGAAATAGAGATACTGGCAGGAGGCAGAGGCAACAATTATCCATCAGTGCATCTCTTCCCCCACTGCTCAAAATATGCAACTACTTCAAAATCTTATTTT